TGTAAATATATATAAAATAAAATTAAAATAATAAAAAAATAAAATATAAATAAAATAAAAAAATAAAATAAAATGCATAATATATATAAAATAAAATTAAAATAATAAAAAAATAAAATATAAATAAAATAAAAAAATAAAATAAAAAAATAAATAAAAAAATTAAAATATATATATTAAAAAAAAAGCGATTTATAAAAAAAATTTAAAATTCAAATAAAATTAAAATATATTATTCTTGATGATTAGCATCTTCAGAAGAAAGTGGAGGTGGCGGGTTAATTGGAGCAGATGTGGATAGTTGCAGATCTTTTGAGTAGATTCGAAGTCATAAGGAATTGTTTGAAAATGTTCGGATAGTTGTGAATTAGAATGATATGATGTAGATGAGCCAGATGTGGATATAATGGGAATTGGTGAAGTCTTGGCTCATTTTTTACCCTTGCCAATGTGAGAGGTGGTAGCAACCTTTCTTCTTTTTCAACTACGTGCACTTAAAGATAATGTTGCTTCAACTGGTTCATCTTCAGTGAGTGACTCTTCATCATCAGTAGCTAGGAGACAACAAGCAGTACTATTTTTTATCTTTTCCTATTTTATTAATATTAATAATATTAGAATTAATTTAAATATATTTAAATAATATTAATATAAATTAATTATATATTATTTACTATATTTTTATTTATTCTATTACGTGAAATCTCATCGCTTATAATGAGCTTTTCATAATAGTTGCTAAGAACAATTTGACATATAGTCAAGGTAAATGCAAATTCCATATTAGTAAGTGACTTCGCAGGCCAAGAATGCGCAACAATTCGGAAAAAAGTAGGTCTTATCAGATACAGCTGTATTTATTTTTCTATGAAGCAACTTGTATGCATGCTTAGTTTTAGCTGAGTTTTTCTATTCTAAAATAGCCTGCAGAGTTGCCTTAGTATTGATTTTATCTAACATGGACTCTCCAAAAACTGCAAAAAGTGATTCCCTAATTTTTGAAAAATATCGACTACGTTTGGAATGGTGCTGGGCAATTAGCTAAAATTATTTAAAATACAAAATAATATAAAGCAATTCGAATTAGTGTGAACTAAATTAATATAATTAAAATAAGAAATATCAAATAAATATGAAAAATAAAAAAATTCAAATCAAAGTAATTGAAATAATTAAAAAAAATTTGAATGTATTCGAATAAAATAATATTTACAGAAGGGTTTTTCTAGGCATCTCTGGCCAGAGATATATAAGTTATATATCTCTGGCCTATTAACCAATCAAATTAACGGAAAATCATATGACAAATCTTCGATCAATAACCCGACATTGGGCAATACCTCCGGCCTAAAAAATCGATCGCCTCTAACAAATCGTACGTACGTACATACTTGGCATCATATGCATGCATGTGTTATATACAAAAACAAAACAAGAATTTTAGAATTTTTTTTGTATTAACGCTCTCAAACAATACAACCATTAACAATACAACTGTTTCAGTGATTTAAAAACCAGCACCCGCTGGTGAAAGAAATCAGAGGAAAGACATTCGCTTCTCTTTAAACTGAACCTAGATAGACGAACACATAAGCTCAACAAACTAAACGTTAAATTTTTGCTATAACGTGCAGGTTAAGAAAAAAAAAAAATCTAATGAACTTTTGAACCTATATACTTTACAAAAACTATAGGTTCGGTAAAGTGTGTGATTGTATGAAAATTTTAAACCAACCTTTATACAAACGAAGAAACCAAACTTTTCAAATTGAGACAACCCAATTTAAGCAATAAAAAAAATTCAATCCAAAGTTCTTTGGACTTAAAAAAATTGTGTTTAATATTGGCCAGTATGGAACTAGAAGTAGTATCACAAATGCAGCTTATTTATGGTAAGGTTTTAATCGTTTAATACTATACAATGTTTTATGTAAGGCTAATATCAGTCTTTAATATTTTAAGAACCAGAACCTGAATTTACATTGGACCCAGAGACCTCGTTCGAACTAGAAACCACATTAGAACCTGAATCCTCATTACCTGAATTCCAATTAGAGCCCGAATCCCCATTAGAACTTGAATCCCCTGAATCCCCATTAGAACCCGAATCCCCATTAGAGCCTGAATCCCCATTAGAGCCTGAATCCCTATTAGAGCCTGAGTTCCCATTAGAGCCTGAATCCCTATTAGAGCCTGAATCCTCATTAGAATTAGGTAACTTGCTTTTTCAGCATGGCCAGGATTATGCCTCTTTTGAGACCTTTAAATATGTTGCCAATCAGTATGCGGAAACAAGTGGGTTTAAAGTGATTTCCTTAAAGGGCAACAATTGTAGTGATGGCTTGTGTAGTACTCAAATTTTTTCCTGCGATCGCTCTGGTATGCACAAGCCCAAACCTAAAGATCCAAATAAGAAAAGCAGAAACAAAGAATCAAAAAAATGCAACTGCCCTTGGTCAATTCGTCTCAATTATAACCCGGAAGACGATAAATATCATATTTCGCAAGTCGATCTCCGCCATAATCACAACCTTATTCCTCCCCAACTTATGCACATATCACCTTCAAATCGCGAAATACCTACCTTTATTAAGGAAGAAATTTTTACCTTGAGAAAAGCAGGAATTGCAGTACCACAAATCCAATCACTTCTTACAATAAAATACGGACCAGCCACGAAGACGTGGGTAATGAAAGATGTGTATAATTTGATTGATACTGAACACATGTTACGCAGTGAATTCCAAGCCCATGATTTCCTTCTTCTTCTTCAACAAAAGCATAACAATGACCCCGAATTTTCTTATGAATTCGAGTTGGACAATAATAATCGACTTAAGCATGTACTTTGGGTATATGCATCACAAAAGCGGCAATACATGCGCTTTCATGACACAATTGTTTATGATAATACATATAAGAGCAATTATTTCTCAATGCCCTTTGGGGTGTTTACAGGCATCACAAACAATGGTCTCTCTTACTACGCTGCTAGCACGTTGCTTCGGGATGAAACGTCTTTAAGTTTTGAATAGTTATTCGAATCCTTTATACGTATTTTTGGCACCGCACCTAACACTATTCTTACAGACAATGATCTGGCTATGTCTAATGCTATTCACTCTGTCCTTACCAATAAACACGGTACTAAGCATGGCCTTTGTATCTGGCACATGTTAAAGAATATAAGGTCGAATATGACCTCTAAACTTGGAAAAAAATATAATATGTTTCACGTGGATCTTATGAAATGCTTAAACCATTATATTGATCAAAATGAGTTTGAGAACCTGTGGAATTGTATAATGGAAAATGATAATTATGCCGAGGCAAAGTCATACCTGGAAGTTCTTAGTTGGTGGCATGAACGGTGGGCCCTGGCATATTTGAAGGAATATTTTTTTGCTAATATGTCGTCGACACAAAGAGGAGAATCAATGAACAGTCTTTTAAAGGGCTTCGTAGACTGTAAAACAAGGCTCACAGAATTTTTGGCAGCTTTTGAACATGCACTTTATTTTCACGAAGAGGTGGAACATATTTCTGCTTACAAAGAGCTTGTTCACCCCATCCCTTCGGATTTCCCAAATCCAATTGAAAACCAGATCACTAGTTGCCTGACTCGATATGCCTGGAAGAAATTTGAGGCAGAATGGAGTGAAAAAGATGCATATACATGTGAGGAAATAACAGATAACAATAGAGTGCATTGTTTTAAGCTATCACGTTACGAAAGGCTTGACGTTATACGTCATGTCTGCTATGATGGCAAGGTACTTGCTTGTTGCTGCTGCAATCTCGAATTTGCTGGAATAGTTTGTCGCCATTCCCTTGCAGTTGCGGTTCGTCTGTCTCTCGCTTAACTCGATCCTGTTCACTTTCCAAAATGCTGGTGAAAGGACCTGCCCGAGTTGGAGCTTGCTAAAGACTATGTCAATTTTTATAGCTATACACAACCACAAGATACAGGAACTTTAACATCACATAAATCATTTGGTGAAGGTGACTCTCAAATCTGGTTTATGCGTATCCATCGACTATCAAGAGAAATTGCAAGTAAGGTTGCAATGGACTCCGACAAATGTGCAGATTTTACATCGTACCTCGAAAAGTATTTGGAGGCACTATATGCCTCTGACGATGATCTTGCTTCAACTCATGAGAATACTTCAGCATCCCCTGAGCTTCCAATAATCAACAACCCTATAAGAAGTAAGGCTGTTGGACGACCTAAAAAGGGAAAGATTAGAAGTGAAAAAGAAAATGTACTTGCTGTGAAAAAAAATAGAGGCTGGCCAAAAAAAAAATCTAGTAGTCCCAACCCAGAACCAAAATGATAATATTAACTTGAGCCAGCCTCGAAAGCGAGGCCAACCAAAAAAAGCATCTTGAAGTGGTTCCGACCCGGAACCAAAGTGAGAATACTAACTTAAGCCAGCCACAAAAACGTGTTCGTAATTAAGGTAAACTTTTTTTTCTATCATATTTTTTTTGAATTTATTTATGGGATGAAAGCTAATCATTTTATTTACACTTTACACATGCTTATCGACAAGATTCCAAGTTGATTTCCAAATTACAAAATGGTGCAATGATATTTTAGTAAAGTATTTGGATTTTTTTTGGCTCTGAAGATTTATTAAGCTTTGTGCATTACAAATGAAATAAATAAAGTTTATCATTTAAATGCGAGAACTTTAGCCTTAAATTATACTCAAATTTGTTGAATTATTACTCTATTAGCCACTGCTTACAGTATCCTTCAAAAATAATGCCTCATTATTAAAACCTGAGCATTCTTCCCTACCAGCCTTCTTCTTAAATAAGACCCGGGTGACTAGATTTACTGCATTTAACATGGTATGTCCCCAAATATGGTACCCAGTCCTTCACACAGTACACACAGGAACTGTTCGATTTTAAAAAATGAAGTCTGTAAGCAGTGGCCAACGATAATATTTGATGTGGAGATCACATGAGATGTAACAATTTGATTTTGTACTTTTTGAAAATTAAGCGATGCATCGAATTTTTTCTGTTGAAAACAGAAGTTTTTTTATAATTAACTTTGATAGACCTAATCCATCCAAATCACTATGTCGCTACAGCGAGTAAGTACAATGACAGGTCACATAAAAAATAAATTTCACCACAATAGCAAGTATGATAACTATAAATCACTTATGTCATCACAATAGTTGGTAAGTACAGTAATAGAATTTTTTTACAGTAAATTGCTATAGAAAACACGATTATTTCAATACAAACTAACATATCCTTATCTAACTCTCTTATATTACGAATAGTCAGTAAGTACAGTAATAGATTTTTTTTATAGTAAATTGTTATAGAATTTTGATTATTCCAATTCAAACTAACATATCCTTATCTAAATCTCTTATGTTTCACAATAGTTGGAAAATATGGTAACAGAGCTTTTTACAGCATATCGATATAGAAATTATTATCAGAACTAATATAACTCTGTCTATGTTACCACAATAGTCGGTAAGTAGAGTAATAGGATTTTTTACAGTAAATCGCTATAGAAATTATGATTATTTCAATATAAACTAATATAACCAATCTCTTATGTTACCACAATAGTCGGCAAATACAGTAACAGAATTTTT